GGTGCGCAACCGAGCACGCGCTCTATACGTGGCGACGGGGGAAGGAGGAGCTCATCGGCGGCGTGTATGTGTATGACTTGATCATCACCGGCGCACATGCGAAGGACATCAACAGCTTCAAGCGTGAGATGGTGGCTCATTTCGAATGGGCGATCTTGGCGTGCTCTCCTACTACCTCGGCTTTGAGGTGAGACAGGGGAAGGGGCGCTCATGCTCGGTCAGAGCATGTACGCCTCGAATCTATTGGAGCAGAGCGGCATGGCTGAGTGCAAGTCATGCGTGACTTCGATGGAGGAGCGGCTGAAGCTGACGAAGGCTAGTACCGTAGCGAGGGTAGATGCAACACTCTACCAGAGCATCATTGGCGGTCTACGCTACCTAGTCCACACGAGGCTGGACATTGCGTTCACCGTGTGCTACGTCAGCCGCTTCATGGAGGATCCCCGAGAGGATCACTAGGCCACAGTGAAGTGGCTGTTGCGCTACGTCAAGGGGACACTGGATCAGGGGATCATCTTCCCCAAGACCGGCGGAAGTGGGTTGCAGCTCACTGTGTCCAGCGATGCAGACATGGCGGGGGACATCGACGGACGGCGGAGCATCTTTGGCGTTCTCGTTTTCCTCAGGTCGGTTCCAATCTCATGGCTGTCGCTGAAACAGAAGGTGGTGGTGCTGTCCACGTGCGAGGCAGAGTACATGGTGGCGGCCATAGCGATGTGCCAAGCTATGTGGCTGCACCAGCTGCTGGGCGAGTTGACCAGTGTGGAAGCTCAACCATTAGCACTGATGGTGGACAACCAGCCCGCCATCGCCCTAGCAAAGAATCTAGTTCTCCATGACCAGAGCAAGCACATCGACATCAAGTTCCACTTCCTCAGGGACTATGTCGATGGAGGGCAGATCGTCATCGAGTTCGTTGAAACTGGTCAGCATCTCACGGACGTCCGCACCAAGCCGCTCGGCCGTCTTCGGTTTACGAAGCTGACGAAGATGATTGGCATGGTGGAGGTTCTAGGGTTAGCAGCAGGATTAGGGAAAGAATTGTAAAGTAATCTGCCGCTCTCCCATCTCTGAACAAGCGGCAGGGGCAGGCGCCGAAAGGCTCCCCTGCCGCACTGTAGCCATAGCAGGGGCATGCGTCAAAGTCAGCCCTGCTGTCACATCTAGTCACTGTAGCAGCCTGGCATCCTGGCATGTCAGTGTACTATGATTATATGGGTGGAGTTGTATTTGTAGCTTCCCACTGCAACTCAGTAAAGTGAGCGAGTTCAGTTTTGCCATCTCCAATGCAAAGCTCCGGCCAACGATGGTGCTTGTGTTGTGTGTGTGTGCGCTCTGTTCTCCCTCCCTCTTCTACCTCCAGCCGTAGTGTGTGTGGTTGGTAATGACGGTGAGCGGTCGGCTCACCCTTGCGGGAGATCTCGGGACCAACAGATGATGGAGACAAAGTTTGAGTCTAATAGCAATATTATTTGATGGGGTTTGAGAAATATTGTAACTTGAGATATGGAGAGGTGTTTCCGATGATGGGAGGCAAATCAAATGAGGATGTATTAGTACATTTGGCTAAGGTTGTGCATTTTTCATTTTGTTTGCCGATTCTGTGCCAACTGCCTGTATACACCAGGGCAGATGCAAGTGCAAGTTTGGAGCTGCTTAAAGGCTATGATATTTTTGGGTTGTGCAATGTAGGATCATCACCTGAACTGATGATGTTTAATTCAAGTGATCAGTTCATCTTTTTCAGTGGCATTACAAGAGAAGCTGCAGTTGTTATGGAGTGTGCTAGGAGCAGCTGAATTTTGGTATTGCCCTACCTCATCTCAGATACTATTACACAGTATGCTGGTATTTTGCTTGATTTTGTTGGTAGCTTCGAGCATCACAAATGCAAGTGTCTGGGGATCACTTATGTCAGAGAAGAATCAGTTACCAATGATTCACAGCAACAAAAGGGTCTCGCACACCATGGGATATTCACGCTGTGGGTTTCAGATTGGCCAGTTTCTTCATCGATCTGAATATATGATGATCCATTGAGAGGTCTAGTGTTGGCCTGGGAAGTGACACATATCATGGGAAGGTGTGGCCTGATTGCAAATGCTACTCACATTGTAACAAAATCCCAAGTTACTCTGCTTCTTCAGGTGCAGTGGGATCCAGGTGGTGAATATATTTTTCTTCATCGATCTGAATTTCACAATTGCTTGCAAAACTTAGGAGTGATGCAGACTGTTCTATACTTTGTCAAAAAGAGATGGAGGCCATATGACAATCATACCAATGACAATGCCAAGACATTATATGATTTATTGCTACCCACCAAATGTGATAGCTGGATGCTACTAAGCAGCAAGTTAAGTCCTCATACCACAGAAGTGCAGGGTGGACAATGCAAAGGGTATCCCTGTTCGACAACCCAAGGTGAAGCAATTATTGCTGAGTTTTGATCCAGAGCTACACCAAATGACACAGAATCCAAGCGATTCATTGTTCACTAAGTTAGCTTGGGGACAAGCCGAATTTTTAGGAAGGTAGAATGTCATGTACCTGCTTACGGGCTGTCTCTTTGGCCATTCGAGCATATGACAGAGTATGCATTTGGCTTGACTTGGCCCACGAAACTTGCAACCGGTGTACAAAAGCAAGGAGCAGCAAAGAGGAATGCGTCGAACGACCAGACATCTACTTGAGGCGAATCTGCGGACTCGAGTTACCCTTCCTATCCCACCCCTTCTTCTACTGTTATGTACAGGTCTAGATCCTTCTAGAAACTTGTATGCTAGTTCGTATGCTATTTCTAGGTGCCCAATTGTTAAGTTGAGGATTAGGTTGGTGACAGACTCTTCGCTCTGGCAACTTGGTTGATATTTGTAGAAAAAGGCTTTTGGTGCCCATATTTCGCTCCATCATATGGTCATACCCATGCGTTCAGGGTTCAAGGAATCGAGATTCGATAAGTACACGGACAAAACCTACCGTACTACCTGGATGGAAGACTATGGCATGGCAACCTAGTCCACTATCGGTGATGATTGTTGTGCTAGCTACTACTTGCCGCTCATGCTGGTAGCCCCAACACAAAACCTTTCTAACCGACCTCCTGGAAGCCATATCAAGGACTAGTAGACCTTGAAAACAACTTGGTCGTCAATTTCTAGGGCACCTACACCATACCTGAGAATGTTTGGGACGTCCATGTCTACATCAATAAGAAGGATGAGTCCAGACATGACTATATTCAATGCTTCTCTAAGATGAGTAATTCACTCCCTAGTATCAAGGACACATCGCTGCCTTTAATCAAGTCATCATAGATGTGAATATGAACCACAAGATAGGATGGAAGGCTCTGACCTCTGTTAACGAGCTTTCCAGCATAGGCAACAACTAAGGAGACCAGGGGAAGGGCGAAGCCCGTGACTCCACTGACAACAAGGAAATTAAGGGCCGAGTGCCCTAACAGTGCTACACCACCCCACACAACAACATGAGCTTGGGAAGATGCTGGACTAGACATGTCAGTATCACCCCAAGGGCAACCACAAAGATGCATGACTACAAAATGCTAAAGGGGTTTGTCAAATAATTTGTTGCCAAGGTTGATGCGAGCAAGGACCCATCCTAGGGTGGAGATTGAGGGTTCTCAAACTAGAAAGGCATTCTAATGATATTCAAGGGCTCCGATGGCTGCGATTCGAAGCGCCAGCACAAAAGATCATAGCCAGGGACGTCAACACGATTGCCTCTGTTGTCCCTTAGAATATTGGTATATTTGTCAAACCTTTCTTGTATTTTGCATCCTTGTTTTCACATATCATGAAAGTCTCTTCTTTGTTACACTCACAGTCTAAATCCATTTCATAGAAATAGAATCCTCCAACCTACATAACCTGGACACAGGTCATATATCTATGACTCTGATAAAGAACCCGAGAGACACTGGTGACAGCAATTATTATCACAACTCTTCTACACCGCTGCCCCCCTCATCTTAATATAACAGATGTCTAGTATCAAATATCTATTCGGTTTTCCTTCAAGGCTGCTACATTTGAGTTCCCAATCTAACGTATATAGATGTTCCTAGTTTATTAATAATTATGAACCACTGCATGTAAATTATCAGGTTTCATATATAAATTCCGGTCAACGCATGGCATTCTGCTACTTGCATGTATCTTATGCGTTGCAAATATCAAACAGACTTGCAAAATTCCGTATGTATGTTAGCAATTCCTATCTATATGTAGCCTACTGTGGAGCACATATGCAAACACTACAAAAAATTCTCGTAGTTTGAAAAAATCGAAACCCTATCAAATTAGTATATATCAATGATCAATCACAAGGTAAACTCAACATACATTGCCTACCAAGCCAGCGTCTACATGTGCACTTTCTTGATTAAAAGAGGACATCAAGCTAAGAAAACCACATTTATTTTGCAAGCTGGATTGGTAATCTAAACTAGAACATACAATCACAGAGGTTTCATGAATACACCAATTAACTTACTGTCAAACCGATGTCATTATTTCATCACTAACCAACTGACATAATTGTTTTGACAAGAAGACCGGAAATTTAAAACCAAGTTATCTAACGGAATTAAGTTTCAGCAAAGAGATAATATGCAAACAAGCATAGAAAATACGAGTTTAAGCTCCCACCGGGAGCACAGCAACTAACTTAAATAACCAAAGTACGATAATTCTGCAGTACTAGCCAGAATTGAAATAACATAAAACCGATGACACATCGACGATGCTCTCAAGCAGCCCCTGATAAGACCATTGGCGGCCACATGATTGCTTCCTTGCACTCTATTGTTGATTAATTGCGGCCAAGTGAGAGCCATGAATTATGACCGCCTCTCCCTCTTCCTCTTCCTGCTGCTGGTGGAGCCCTAACAATAGTACCAAAGAAACATTGTTACACATGCAGACAGACAAATAGAGAGACACAGAGAGATAACTTGGTTACTTTGAGTTGTCTGTTTACCTAGCGTTGCTTGTTGATGCGCCTTCTCCATTATTTGTTCCAATAGATAGCATGGTAGTAACTCTAGCAGGAGCTTGGTTTGCAGTGGCGCCAGGGTAGTAGAAAGGGTAGCCAAGCACCACTCTACTTGTATCCACGACAGGGAATGGCCACTGCTGTTGGACCGAATTGAAGCCATTAAAGTTAACCAAGCCAGAACCGCTGCTGCTTCCTTGTACCAGATGAGGAGAGGGCACTACAGGTACACCACCTCTCATTATGCTGTATGGAGTGATGTTTGCTAGAGCCGGTTGTCTGTGCTGGTTCATCATGTTGAGATGGGCACTGCTTCCAGGCTGAAGCTGAAGCTGAAGCTGGAGTGGCGAAGCTGCAGAAGTTGAAGCACCATTAGACGAACTACCGTAAAGGATCCTGTTTGACAACATTGCTTGCTGGCCCTGCTGGTTGTTTGGGATACTATTTCTCCAAACGCTAGTAGTAGTAGCCCATGAAGGATATACTTGGCCACGGCCTCTTCGCCTTATCACAGGAACCACTGGATTAGACGGCATGTTGCATGAGGAGACAACAGTCTGGTTTCCCTGATTGGGAGTATTGTTTGTTGTCCCAGTGGATGGAGCTTGATAGATGACACGACCAAAAAGCACAATAGAGCCAGGTTGATTAGCAGGTTGCTGCTGAGCAGTTTGAGTTACAGTAGTAGTAGTCTGTGAGGGACTTATCTCCATTGTTGCATCAGAATCTGTTGCCTCGCTACTGCGACCCATGGAAGCTTCAGCAGTACTTCTCCCCAGGTCTACTAAGGTCACATCAATTGGTGTCACATCAAGCGGTAAATTCAGATCTATATCCATTGCAACGTAAGAAGAGTTTGCATGAACCATGTCCAAGGCAGCAGAACCAGAACTTGATGGCAGATGGTAAGTGTTGGGTGCTCCATTTGAGATCTGCATAGGAGGTGCATTGAGATCATTCACTTCAGGACTTGGGACAATACCTTTCCCCTTCTGAGCAGTAACATTGCAACTCAATTGAATACCATTGCTCTCTTTTGAAACAACACTGTGCACAGGATTTCCCTTCTTACTTTTGACCTTAGCATCATTATTTTCTGAGTTTCTATACATTGCTTCTGAAGCCCTCAGTCGCTGTATGAGACCATCATCTCTTACTACAGAAGCATTAGTGTCAACCCAGGGACTGCTGTCCTTTGTAGGAGTTTCCATGTCTGCATTGAGATCATTTCCTTCTGGGCTTGCGATACTATCAACTTTTTCCATCTCCTTCTGTGAATTCACTTCGAACCTCATCTGTATACCACTGCCATGTTTTGATGCAACACAGAGAACCGGTCCCTCCTTGCCTTTGACCTTGTCGTCATTTTTTTCTGATTCTTTCTTCTCCATTGCTTCATCGAATTCCATCATATGCTGTACAAATGCAGGACCTGATAACATAGCAGCTGGATCAGAGGTAATCCAGGGATTGTCTTTGCTATTAGGGTTTTTCATATCAGATGGGGCCATTCTACCATCATCAATATTTGAGTTAGCCAGCTTCTTTTCTGTCGCTTTCCATGAATGATGCTTCGCAGCATCATTGCATTCCTTCAATGAAGAACAGAGCTCAGCAGTTTTAGCTCCACTTTTGATCTGATCACCTTTAATGGTACCATTTGCTAGCTTAGCACTCCTCTCATCAGGGAAAAATATTATTTTCAAGGTATCCTGTCCACATGACCCACCAGCCACACAATTTCCTTCATCACCATGGTTTGCAATCAGAACACTTTGTGGTACATTTTCCTTCACCTTAGACGAAGACTTTGTGATGCAAACTGCCTCATTGGAACAGCTGTCCTCATTGAAATTCTCCAACACTGGTGCCTCAGTTTTGGAGATGGTCAAACAGGCAGCTTGACTAGATCTCATTCCAAGTGGAGATGGAGCAGCATTCGATTCACCTACTAAAACTTTTCCAGTTGCATGTTCATGTTCATCCATAGATGATTCACCATGCCCCTTATCTGGAAGGCTGTGTGCTAGAAGATTAGCAGTAGATTCATGGCGAATTTGATTTTCAGGCTTCTTTACATCTTCTGCCTTGGCATTCATCCTTTCGTATTTTTTAGTAGCTGTAACTGTTGCTATCCCAGACACAAGAGGTGCAGCATTCTCATTACAACATTTTTTTTGAGATTGCATCACAGTAGTAGGCAGACATTTCTGTGCTTCCTTATGGCATTCTGATTTATAGTGCTCAGAATAATACTCCATGCAATCTGCTGTCGTTTTGTGCCTAAGAAAAGATGAGACCTTGGAAAAGTTCATACCAAATGTTGTAATCATCTCTGAAAATACATCCTTTTCTTCCTGTGACCATTCGTTAAGTTTCGATCCCTGAAGCTCATCAGTTTCTGGCCCCTCATCAGACAAAACATTCTTCGGCAAAATCTTCCTAGGCTTCTGTACCATTTTAACAATTACTTTTTCCATTCTTGGTGGAACATCTTGAACCTTCGTAAATTTCATGCTACTTTCATCTGCTTCAAAACAGGATATTAGGAAAGAATAAATTAGAGAAAACAATGGTTGTGTATATGCATGGTTTGAAATTCAATAATATAGAATTAAAAGTAGCTGAAACAGTAATGATTTATGTACTACAATAGAATTGAAAAAAAAACTGAAAGCATAACAAATTTAATGATTTCAGTTATTTATTTTCACATGTAAAACATATATGCTCATGATGATAATTTGCTATAACTCAGCATATATCATTTTTTTGTTAAAAAATTAATTTCAAGCTAGCCAGTCAAATTTTTAAGTAATTTATCTATGAACAGCTGCTTTGAAGAACGTACCCATTAAGCAGTCAAGTTTTAGATGGTATGGGGAGCTAATGAAAGTCTCAAGGTTCCGCGCTATGCAGAACTATAATAACATATGTCATAGGGTATGTTTTAGTTTATAAATTACTGTACATTATAAATCAAGATCCTTATTACGGACTGCAAGTCATCATTTTTGGCCTGAGATGTTCTATTCCATGCATGTTAGGATTTATATGTGCAATTGATTCTTTCACCTCATGTTTATATAACAAGTGCAACAGTGAACATATGATGATAAACATGGCTTTATTTTTCATTCATTAAATCAAGAAGAGAGTATATATAGTAAGGTGGTACTGAAAGAATCATATATTTAAAACACAAAATCTTGGTTATCATAAACTAACTTCAAAGACTAATAATATACAGGAAGCATCAAAATCGCCTCCATCGAGTTCACTACACATCAAGCCAAACCAAATTTACAAATAGGCTACTATCTGGCCCAGTGTTGAAAATTACACCCATTATGATAATCCATTCTTTTCCATTGAATTCAAAACATCTCTAAATGGTATAAAATTGGCATATCATTCATAAGATGGACAAAACTAAGTAGTCATATTATATTCTGAGTTAAACCAATTAATGTCATATATCTCTGGATAGGTCAACTAATTTCCAAGCACAAAAGTGTATATGTACGTAGATCTCGGGCATCATCTCACTAAATTGGATGTCTTCTTTTTGCTGTTTTGGAATAGTGCTTGGAGCTAAAAGGAAATGCAATTGCATAGGTTTGTGACTTTCACCTCAAGGAATATGTTGCTGGAATAGTAGACATAAAACAGCACCAAAACCGGCATAAATTCTAAGGCATAATTAATCAATATATGACAAAATATTCACATCCAGGAACGCTTGAAGAAATAGAAGGACATAAAACTGGAGGAAGCACACCAGGAACCCAAAGGTATAACTAATTTTTTCTAGGTATCCACATCCAAAAATAAAAGAGCAAGCAAAAAAGTTTGTGGTGACGTAGTACTGTGTTAAGCATCTCTACAGTTCATGCATTATCACACTGTCACAAACGCATTGATAATATGACAAAGCTTTTTCACTTGCAAGTCAACGTCCAGTTACCTGGTGGTGCATCACATCCCTGAGAGGAAGAAGCAAGCGCAGACACTGCAATTGCCGTCATGCTGTTGTCCTCTGCAGCTTAAAATCACCCAAAAAATGTTGGTATAATCACAAAAACATCTGGTCGAGGTGTTATATTATATGGATTAGTTGAAAGTGTATAAATAAGTCACCTGGTGACGGGCTACCTTTGCGAGGGACAGCATACACTTTAGGGAAGATAATTCGAAGATCACCAATGCATCCTACAGGTAGAGATAGAAATAACAGTAATTTGGTAAACTCGTGAACATATATCTGGGCAGTAGCTATAGACTGAGAAGTATACTTTAGATAGGTCAATTTCCATGGAACAAAAGCAAATGCAATTGCATAGGTTTGTGACTTTTAACTCCAAAAACATATTGCAGGAATACTAAAACATAAAACAGTATGAAACCATCATTATTTCTAAGGCAAAATTAACCAACATATAGGTATATATCCACATACCTGCGTCATTGTTTTGAAAAACAAAACAAGAGCAAGCAAAGTCAGTGTTATAGTTCTTGTGGTGTACAGTTATAACATCTATTTATGTCATGAATCTTAAGTGCTTGTTCAATGTCAACAGTTGAAGCCATGCGTGGTATGATTAATGGATATGTCGAAACAGAATCAGCAAACTTGATCATTACATAAACATATTCCAAATAGAAACAATTCCTCAAGAACAAAAAAGAGTTTGCCAATAAGAATGAACTCGACACACATGCTTGCAACTCCTGAGGTCATTCATCATTACAAAAATATAAAACCATTCACCTCCAAAAGCAAGTTGTAGAGAATAGTATAGTAATACAGAAAACATGAGGAAAAGCATGAACAGAAGTTCAAAGATATATTAATATTCCAGCATCAGTCATACCGTACCCTTCCGAGAATGTATCGGACCACAAAATTACAAGAAAAAAAATAATATTCACATCCTTGAACACATGCAGAAATAGCAAGACACAAATCTGGAGGAAGCACCAGGAAGTCAGGAACTCAAAGGTAAAATTATTATTTTTTTCTCTGCATCCAAAAATAAAAGAGCAGCAACCAGAAATGTTTTTGTGGTGCAGTACTGTGTAAAACATCTATACAATTCATGCATCGTCACTGTCACAATCGCATGGTATAATATGATATGTATATGTATAGTGCACAGATAACTAGTAAAACTGGTTATTACATGAGATGACAAATCTTTGATGCATTACTACTGGCAACTTGCAAGTGAACATCCAGTTACCTGTTGGTGGATCACATGAACTATGAAAAACCCTAATAGCAAAGACAACCCCTGCATTACTTCTGATCCTACTATGTTAACAGGTGATGCATCTGTACAGCATATATGATCTCAATGCAGACATGGAAAATCCTACAAAGGACAGCAGTCCCTGCATTGCGGCAAATATCGGCTACAAAGGACAGCAGACATGGAAAATCCTACAAAGGGTTCAGCCTATCGGCTGAGACACAAATATCGGAGGGGACCGATACAAACAAAAATCATGAAAATCGGTGAAAACCGGCTGAAATTTCGGTCAAAATTTTCAAATTTTAGCGCAGATTTGAAAAAAAAATTGAACTAAATGGAACCGAAATTACCGGTATGTACATTTACCGGAGATCACCAATAGAAACGAAAATCGCGTTTTTTTCGTTGAAAACTGGCCGAAATTCTGAACCCTACATGCCAATTGCTTCTGTAGTAAGAGATGATGGTCTTATACAGCTACTGAGGGCTTCAGAAGCAATGTATAGGAACTCAGAAAATATGATGATAAGGTCAAAAGTAAGAAGGGGAATCCTGTGCAAAGTGACTTCTCAGAAGGGTAAAGGTATCATCCCAAGTCCTGAAGTGAACGATCAGTGCACCTCCGATGCAGATCTCGAATGAAGCACCCAAAACTTACCATCTGCCTTCAAGTTCTGGTAATCAGCTGCAGGTGAGGGGCGATGTTTGCGAGAGAAACGTGCATGCACTTTAGAAGGGGAAGCAGCTTTTTCAGTCAAGCTGCCTATGCCTCCATTCTTCCTAGTAGGATCCCCGAGGTCTCCTGCAGGGTGGAAATTCACAGCAATTTCATAAATAAAACTCATAAAAACATGCCTGGCCGGCATAGGACAGGTGTTATATATTGTATACCGGCAAGTTTACATGTTGTCACCTGTTAGTGGACGACTAGACCCCGTGGAGAACAATGCAGGCGCAGTAGTAACATGGGAAACCCTCATTTCGGCCATGTCGTCCAAGCTGTTATTGTCACCATGACCTTTGCTTCCTACAGGTACACAGGAGGGAAACCAAAGAGATTTGTTAAGCACAGAAACACAATTTCTACAGACAAGCAGCGCATAGAGATCGATGTCATATATACTGGTAGGGTTTTAGTTTGTATGGCTTCACCTAGTGGCGGACTTGATCCGTGAGAAGAAGCAGGTTCACCAGTGGCTCCATCATGAGCTACAAGTTTATGTGTAGTCTCATCATCCTTCTTGTACCGACGATTCTCATACTTTGCAAGGCCCTGACCCCAGCCAAGGCGAGTCTTCTTCCTAGCGGCGGCCTTAGCCTCTTCCTCAGCATCAGCATCTGCGGCCAAAGCAGCCTTTGCTGAAAGCAGCCTCTTTTTTGCCATGAAGACATTCAACCCTAGCACATCACCCTGGTCATCATGCCTGTGAGCCATGCTCACATCGACCTCAGAACTCTTCATGGGTGCTGGTGGATCTAGTGGCAGCAACCTCTTCTTGTCAGTGGCTGATGTGCTGCTGCCACCCAAGCCTACTAACACATCGACGACATGGGAATCTTTCACCGGATCTGACACGGGAGGAGTCATCGCATGGGAGCTTGGTGATGACGAAGCAGGTGGTGGAGGAGTCGGGTCCCTCTTCTCCGAGGGAAGAGGAACAGGAACTGGAGCCTGCAGTTGCGCAGGTGGCTGGCTTGAAGGGTCGGAGCCTAGCAGTCCAGGGCCACCATGCTGGCGTGGTGCGCTGAAGCCGTGACGACCACCCCTTCCTCGTTGTGCGTGACGACCACGACCCCTTCCTCGTTGTGCCCCTGCCATGGGAGCACGACCTGCGTTCATGACAAGATCGATGACCTAAAGTCAGCAAGAGAAACCTTCTTGACGGTGGTCATATACGCATGTATATATAAGCACACTACTCAAGGAGATGGACAACACATGCATGTAGATCGAAGAAAACATGTAGGATCGGAGTATGTATTATATCAAAAAAATTTCTATGCAAATATATCGAAACACAGAAAATAATACTATGTGCACATAAGAGATCCACATCTCCTTGCATCGAAAACCCCCAAAAAGTGAAAGCTAAACGCATGACAATACTCGCTCCCCATAGATCCATCGAAGAACTACTTGCACAGGGAAGAAATATAACTCCTCGCAAAAAAAGGGAATAAATATAATTCTTTTTCATTTAAAATAAAAAAAGATGCACCTAATGGAACTGAGGAGCTGGAATAAGGAGCTGGAACAGGGCCTTGTTGTTGGTTTGGAGGATTCCAGCTATACTCTACACCAAATCCATAGCCATAGTACGGCAATGGCAGGAACGTGTTGGTGTATGGATCATAGCCATACGGCCCTGGATGCGGCCATTCCAGTGGCAGCTGATGACCACCCGACCCATCCATTTCAGATCTGTCACACGCACGATCCACAGATCGCACAAACCCACGAGCTAGCAACAGAAAGCAGACAGGCCACAAACCTGCAGATTGCTGCTTGGAATTCTCGATCGATCTGCAGAGATCCTCTCGAGAGGATGTACGATCGAGAATTTCTTGCAGATCCCAAAGCTAGGCGCTCTAGGCTGGGACTGAGAGCAACACAGTCAAAGGGTGTTGCGGACCTGTGTCACTGGTGGTGGAGAGAGGAGAAAATGGTTAGAGTGGGCGCAGGAGCCTGCACGAGAACCCCGCTCCTCCCTTTTGTAGGCAAAAAAGGTAGCCCCTAGGTTAGGTGGGGTCAGGCTTTCTTTCATACATGGTTTTGGTATTTAATAATGTGATATCTGTACCAGATATCATCTATCCTCAAGATATACTAGTATTAAATATTTTTCCCAGTGCCATATCAGGCCATGTTTAGTTCCACCGAAATCTAAAATTTGGCACTATGTTAAAAGAAAATTCTTTATCACATCAAACTTGTGGTACATGCATGGAGTACTAAATGTTGACGAAATCAAAAACTAATTGTATAGTTTGGTTGTACTTTGCGAGACGAACGTTTTGAGCCTAATTAGTCAACGATTGGATAATTATTACCAAATACAAATGAAATGCTACAGTGCGATACAGTGTACCTGGTTTTCAGGCGGCGCCAACTTCGGCCGGAACTAAACGCGCCCTCAGCAGTCTTGGCCCTTGGTTCCATTTTAAATTTCTTTGTTAATGCCAGCTAAAAATGATATTGACAGCTGTAGTGTGGTGAAAATGTATGCCAGCCTTGTTTTTCATTTTTATTTTGTATTTGTATTTTATTTTTCATTCTTCATTTATTTGTTTCCTCTGGAACCACTACGTGGCAGGATACCGCTGTTCCCAGCACCTTTAGTTTTTGGGAAGCAACAAGAGGGCTGCGCCATCCATCCAAAGAGCTACACGCACTGCCGCCACATGAGAAGCATGTATGCCTGGGGGGGTGAGGGTGCCCAGGAATTGAGTGAAACAGTCCCTGGAAATACGTACAGGAAGCTTCCGCGAAAGAAACTAGAGATGACCATCACCACCTTTATAACTATAATAACGCCCGGCCAACACCTTGGCTATACCAAGTGTGCGCCAGCCTAATGACTGTACGTTTCGAGACGACCGCCCACAGCACTGTGTGGTTCACTCCTGCAGCACTCTAATCGATCGTCGTTTCGTGGCTCCATCGACCACCGATAAGGATGGTGTGATAGTTTTCCTTAAGTACTAAGTTTTCCTTCAAAACTGAAAGTTGCCTTTTTTTTTCTCACCACCAATAGACCAGATGGCAGGAATAATTAATAAGCTCCAAGGATTCTATCTATTACGACCTTGTTTGAATGTAGTTGGATTCGTATCAATCCATACAAACATATCTTAATACATGTGAATTAAGATGAATCTGACTATATCTATATAAGGCCTATATGTTTTTTTATCACACTCTTAGGCCCTGTTTGAAAGTCTGGTTTTGTGTCAAAAACTAGTGTAAAATACCAGCCCACAAATTTTCCAGCCTAGACATGAAAACGCTGCTTGGATGGCCTGTAAAATAAATAGGCCCAGACCGGTATTTAGCCTTTACACCCGGAAAAAAATAATCATCTCATTAGCCCACGATAAAAATACGACAGAAGTCGGGCGGCTCCGTCCTTGCTCATCGTCGTCCACCTCTCGACTCTTCTCATCGCTCGCCCTTCCTCCACTCAATGAACCATGATTCCTTTTGTCCCTCTCCATATCCTCTACATCTCGATTCCCCTCCTCAATTCACACATCTACGCCGGACTCGATGTGCGCTCCCCACGAGTTTGATCCACGTTACTGCTGGCCGGGATCTGATCTACATCGAGCCTGTGCAAGGGGAGACAAGGCTGCGGCAGCAGGGCTGAGTCTGTGTTGGGTGCTGCAGCGAATCAGCACCGCTAGCTGGCGCAGTACAACTTTGATTCTACATGTCTAATGGTGCACCGAGGACCCACGGTCAGGATGACGACGACGAGGCTGGTAAGCTTGTCAAGCAATCGATCCCATGCAGGCGACAGGCGGCGGCGAAGCTCAGTTACAGCGAGGCTGTCGGGTCTGTTGATGTCGCTCAGCTGCCGGTGACGAGGCTGGTGAGCGGTTGCAAGTTTGTATCTCGTCCTCCTCTGACTGCCTTGTTTTGTGTTCTTTGTTTTTCCCCTATTATAGCTCAGAAGCATGGTTTTCTCGATCGACAATATGCTTCAACAAGTAGCAGCAGGCCATGATTTGGCAATCGGACCGCACCAGCAGAAGTATAATCACATGATCTTGCATTTTTCTTCATTTTTCTCTGTATCCAACCTATGATGTCAAATGTCAATCGTTTCACAAGGCTGAGCTGCAGAGTTAGTTTCTAGCCAAACAGCAGATCACAAGCGGAAATAGTTACAGGGGATTCCTTGTGCACGAGGGATTACATGTGCTTAAATTTTCATCTGTAGAAATTTACTAAGTTGTCAAACAGCGCCTTAGTTTTTTCCTTGTTTAATTTGGCGGAAAAAGGCCTACATGGTGTATGTCTTGGAGACATGTACGTGTATATATTCATCTACCAAGGTCGTCAAGTAGTTGGTTAAAGTCCTGCATCTAGGGTGCATCATCCTTATTAGCTTGTCGTCCATGATTCCTATCATCCCATATGGTGTAGCATCACTGGACCAATGAGTAGACTACACTACTATATATGCATAATTAGAATAGTAGTTATGTAAGCACAACTATTTTTGGTGGAATATTTGGAAAGAAAGAAATAGAAGAACCTTCCAACAAAAAACTCTACAACCAAGACAAGTGGCTTTGCTATGCAAGGAGGACATTCAACAATATGATTTGGGGTCAAATAGTACTGAAAGCTTTCACTAATCTAGTGCTGATGTTGGTTTTTCTGGTTCTCGATCTAGGCGTATGGTTGGAGGGCCGTTTTCTTCATGGTTGTTGTTGTTCTTTATGTAATTGTGCTCAGAGGTTCCCCTGTGTTAGCCTCTCCTGTGTAAGGATGTTAGTTGGTACTTTGTAGATATGGGCTGTTTCAGGGGGTCTGGTATTGTAAATATTTTGTAATTTTCTTTTGCTTCTTTTGCTTTCCTTTGTCTAATAAAATGAACAACAAAGCTTTCGCCGCCCCTTTCAAAAAGAATAGTAGTTATGTAAGCAAGCCTTACCTTGAGGGATGAAAATTGAAGACCAGAGATATAAATAAAGAAATTGAGCGTAGATAAATATCCCAAAGGATTAGGATGCCTTTTTTAGGCCATTTTTTTCAAGATATCAATGTTTGACATATATAGTGGTGAGACAGCTTTCATACCAAGCTCATAGCATGACAACGACCATGTACCTCTATTGGCCAGCTTTGGGTAGGCCCCAAATGAGTTTAGGGCCTGAAAAAAAAAATACTATTTTGACCTCGAACATAACTTCTATAGCATGTAGTTAGCCAGGTAACATGCACTCACGCTAGAAGATCACCGATTACACACGTCCTGAAAAATATGTGGCTTCCTTTTTATATGACAAGAGCTACCACTCTATAATACTATCCTACTTTGTTTGACTTATCTTGGTGTCCCTCGACTCCCTCTCCTCTCTCCCTAAAACAGATTCAAGACAGAAGGACAAGGGCTTGGCGGAGGCGATCATGGCCACTAGCGAGAGCACCGTGATCAACTTCTCTCTCTCTCTCTCACCCACTGTTTTACCATGTTATTGGCAATTCAAGATTTTTTTGTGAGGATAATTTCTTAGAAAAAGTTATGGCAAGAAATCCTTTAAATACTTTCTCCAAATTGTGATACTGTTTGTATTTTTATCCTTTTATGATTTTTTATCAGAATTTCTTCATGTTTTTCATGAAAATGTTTCTCAAAATATTTTGCTTACATTTTATTGATTCTTTTCTTATCTATTTTTCCTCAAGATAAACTCATCCCTCTTAAAAGAGATGAGTTCCTTAACCAACCAGATAAGGGAGAGGAACCCGTTAAAGGGAATTGTCGTGAAGCCATCAAATCATGTGCTAAATGAGGCTTGCGTCATGGCCTAACTAGAAACACCGAATAACGCAAATATTTTTTTCACATCATTTTCCCTTAGCGGCGAATGATTGAGTATAACCTAAGAGGATGATGTCATACAACTTAAGTACGTCCATATTTGAGGAAGTGACATTTTGAAAAAGTGACAGTTTAATCATGCCCCCTCCTAAGGTTGATTCTTGGGAAATACCGTCCGAAGACATGGCTGCTTCGTGAAATACCTTCATAACCTTAGTCTACTTTATATTTTGTAGCCTTAATCTCACTGCAATTAGATTTTTAAAGTAGAAAGGAAAATTGTGAAAAGCCACATCTCCTACAATCTTGAAGTCGTTCCTTGCAAATTACTTGGGTGTTCTACTGTCTTTCTGTCGGGGTTATGATACCCCGGGTATCTCAAGACACCGATTAGTTAGTCGCTCAGGCGGCCCATGACAAACAAGCTAGTACAAGCCTAAGCGACCGAGGTCCAACTAAGCTACAAAGGCCTGGGCCAAGCGCTGAGAAAGGGAGTCGGCCAGGACCTCCTCCCTCTCCCTTCACCTACGCTGCCTAGCTCCGCACAACCTCTCCTCCGTCCCGACCCCCGGGAGGGATGGAGAAGGGTCGAGCTCCACCAAGTACACCTACTCTGACTAGGACAGACGCGCACTGTGGTAGAACCGACGAATTTATAAGAGCACAAGTACAATGGCAACCACCGGAGTGATCGCACTATCATACTTGAGCCCATATAAACCCGGTAGTCCATCGAGTATTACGAATGATCTCGAATAATCTAACATACAATCAAGATCGTACATGATTCAACATACAAGCCATATATTACATAAGTTCACAAGTAGTTCAACATACATCGGAGTACGAAAAGAGTTATTA